ATTTACAGGCAACGAACTCAGCTACTGTCCAGCCAAAAGTCTATTGTCACAACACAATGTCCTTCATTCTGCTAATGCCTTAAAAATGTAGACTTGAAATGATATCCCAGCCAATAAGATCCTGTCACCCAGGGAGCATGCCTCTGGCAGGGGAAGTAAGTGTCAGTAGATTGTGGCCAGACATGTCCATCTGGCATTTCCAAGACCACAGGGCTGCTTCATCCCAAATCTGAAGCCAACTGGAAGAGAAACGAAACGGAGTGAACACCTGTGAGACGGCACAACAGACCTGGCTCCTCCATTCCCGTGGCTATCCGGGTGTCCATACCACCCCACGAAGGTCTGAGGACTTACAGAGCTGCACGGGAGATGCACGTGGCAGCATGTCATAGCCCAGGATGCCACAAAGACAAGACAAGAAAATGCTTGTCATTCCCAGTGCTTTCTCTTTCTGACCCAGAAATGGCGCTGGCAGTGTGGCTCCCCTCCACACACCCCCATAGTGAGGGGGCCTCCCTGCTACCCCTGCCCCTTTCTTAGAATGTCTCTTTAATGCTTGGCTGCAGGTGTAAAAATATGGTCCCGGAGTGAGTGAGTGAGACTGAAAACGGGAAAATAAAAGGAAAAAAAAAAAATCAATGAGACAAAAAGTTGCTCCTCAAAAAAAAAAAAAAAGAAGAAGAAGAAAAATCAATAAAATTGATAAACCTCCAGCAAGAGAACAAAGACAAAAAGAGAGAAGACACCAATCACCAATTTTGGAAGGAAACCAGAGATATCACTACAGACCCTGTAGCCGTTGAAAGACAAAAAGGAGGACTACCAAGAACTTTACACTCTTAACAACTTAAAAGAAATAGACCAATTTCTCAGAAACGACAAACCATCAAAACTCAATCAAGACGAAACAGACAATCCAAATGGTTCCACAACCATTAAAGAAATTAAATTCATAATGAGAAAGCTCCCAGAAAAGAACCCCACCTCACTGGAAAATTCTACCAAATATCTAAAAATGCATTAACAAAAATTATACACAATCTCTTCTAGAAAACAGAGAGGAGGAAGAACTTCCCCATTCATTTTATGCAGCTGGAACAGGCTGAGTATCCCTAATCTGAAAATCTGAACCCCAAAGTGCTCCAAAATCTGAAACTTTTTTAGCACCAACATGATACTCAAAGGAAATCTCACTGAGGCATTCCAGATCTCAGAGTTTTGGATTAGGGATGCTAAAACAGTATGTATATAATATTCTAAAATCTGTAAACATCCAAAATCTGAAATATTTCTGGCCCCAAGCATTGGGCTTCTCCATCTGTATGACCTTGATACCCAAATCAAATAAAGATAGTACAAAAAAAAGAAATCTGCAAATATCTCCTATGAATTTAGATGCAAAAAAAATTCACAACAAAGCATAACCAGGTTGAATCCAGCAATCCCAAGTAGGATTATTCCAAGTATGTGAGGCTGGTTGAACACGCGAAAGTCAATCCATGGGATCCCTTGGTATCACCACTGAGTGAGTAGCAACGCAGCTTCTTCTGCCCCACGCTGACATCAGCAGCAGGACACTGTCACGGGTGGAAATGCAAGCCGTCCTTCCATCCTGTTCTAGCTCCTACCTCAACTTGGAGGTCGGACCCCTGGAAATTCACACTTTCTTATGATTTGTGGAGAGTTGCCTCACCTGCAGATGGCAGGGGTGGCAGGGAACGGCATTCCTTCCTCACCTGCTGACCCAGTACCCACACGCCTGGACAGAGGCACACAGCTCGTTTCCAGCAGGCTCCCTTAGCGCCCTGAACCAAGTCACCTGGCACCTCTCCTACCCTGAAAGCATCCAGCTCTACCCAGTTAACGTGCCATGCAAGGGTCAAACAGAACTTCAGCTTACTTTGTGAGCCCAGAGGATCCTGAGACAGAAGCGCCCACACCAGTGAGTCCTAGAGGGGCAGTGAGTCCTAGTTGCCCCTATCAATGCTCATTCCATTCACTACAGTCAAAGCTCAGGGGCCAGGCACTCTGGCCACACATGGAACCCACGCCAGGCCTCACTGAGAAGGAGAAGCTCTGCAAGGCCTTTGGAGCTTTTCAACTTACAACATGCACAAGCCTACTTAGTGTCTTCTGTGAAACTTCCCCAGTTCCGCTCCTTTTTCTATTAAAAGTTGCTCTGGAAAGTTTTGAGGTAAACTTGGAAAACACCAAATATATGTTCAACTATTAAAAGACTCCAAAATGAAAATTCAAGTTCATCTGGGCTTGGAAGTTGTGAGTCAAAGGGGTGTCACTGCACCCTGTGTTCAACTGTGGCTTGGAGCAACTGTACGGATTTGCGAGACGGGGAGGTGGGGCTCTGGAGAGGTTTGCTCACGTTTGCTGACTCGCAGTATCTGGCACGGAAACCAGCCACAGCAGCACAGATTTTCCTACAATACAGTCAAGAATCCTTAAAACAACCCACCAGAACTGTGTCAGGTACACCACTGTCTGCTAGGTGGGAGGCACACTGTGGCTGGCACAATCATGGTGGGCAAGATTTCTCTAGGGCCACACTGAGACCAGGCATGGTTCTGCCGCGCAGCCCCAGAGCCGTCCGGAACACAGGGTAATCACGTGGATGCTCAGGAGTGCATGTCAGCAGCTACTTCAGGAGCACGGTCATGACCAGCGCGCCAGTGCTCCAGTTCCAGCAGGCTCCCCCAGCGCCCTGAACCAAGTCACCTGGCCCCTCTCTCACCCTGAAAGCATCCTGGCTCTACCCAATTAACACGCCAAGCAAGGGTCAAACTCCAACCTGCTACTGGAGTGCTGGCACGCTGGTCGTGACCCTGCTCCTGAAGTAGCTGGCCAACGGAGGTGCTGCCACTGAGCGGTGATGGTCAAGGTCAGCACCACGACAAGCCTCTCCCTCCTCCCCAAACTCCTCCATGTTCCCTCTCCGCCAGCCTTGCCCCATAACTAAAGCCCCTCACACCCTGGAAGTCATCCCTGTGGGGCTCGGGGCGCCGGGTAGCGCCATTCCCACCCCACCCCTGCCAGGAGAGGACCTGCAGTTTCTAGAACTGCCTGGGGCCCGCTACCTGAAGATAGATCATCCTTATTTTTAGAAACAAATTATCTTCTAGACTTTCACCAAGGTGATTCTTTGGGTTTTATTCACATTGTCTTAGTTTCCCATTTCTCTTGACCTCTTCCTGTTCTGTCACAAACTGTATCCTGCTAGATTTTGGCACTCAGTTCCTTATAGGGACTCCAGGCATGTGAGTCCCCACAGCAGCCAACACAGAGACATACGCAGGCTTCGCTTTCTCAGGAGGTACGTCACCGCGGAAAGCCGGGAGTAAGAACGTTCCCGCTAGCCAGTAACACAGTGTCACTCAGGCTGCCATGACCATGAAGCGGGACAACCGAAAGCAGGGTGGACATCGCGAGTCAGCAGAACTACCAGAGCAGCCCACCTCACCCCTCCCGCCCGCCCTCCTCCAGCAGCAAAAGGAAACACCAGAGTCCTCCATGGCTCCTGCAATGGAGAGTTCTTTGTATACACCTCCCACCCAATCCCCTTACACCAGAATCGCACACTCTTCCTTGAATGGGCTCACACCTTTCAGATTGGAGAAAGCAAGATTTTACTCAGGGTGCTAAAGTATCTTACAAACAAAAAGTTGAGATTGCCTGTAAAACCCCACAAGGTTTTAATTCAACAAGTGAACATGGGCAAGGAGTCTAAAGTTGTTCCCCTTTTCTAGACAAACGGAAATATTTTAAATAAATCTCCAAGAAGGTTCTGATAGATCAGTGTTTCTTCAAAAATACCTTGACACTGACTGATATTCAAGGAATTACTAAGAAATTCAAACCGCCGCCGCAACAGTGGAAATCTGAGCACTGTTTCTTGAAAATACAGGAGCCTTAAGTGGATTTAAAGATCAGGACACAGAATCGAGGCAACTGCATGGCAAATGCACCCGACAGTCCAGTCAGACAATGAACCTAACAGGGAACCCAATGTGAGCAGCAGGCTGCCGGAGGCCACGTCTGTCACGCACACCTGCCTGGTTTGGAAGAACTGCTGGGAAATTGAAATGCAACACTCAAGGAAGCTGGGGCACGGTCAGCTTCCTGGTTGCCATCTCAGGCAAGGCTCGGTGTGTGTCCGTGCGAGTCCCAACAAGGAACTGTGGAGCCAGGCGCAGATGACTCGAGCCTGAGCAGCGTCCTCCCCACGCTGTGCACCTGGGTACTTCCGGCCCTTGAGCCTTCCACAGTGTTTTTGCAACACAGGCGTGGGCAGAGTCCTGCCTTCCCCTGCAGAAGCTGGGCAAGTGCCACCAGGGAGGCCGGACGGTTCCACTCCCAGGTCCCGAGACTTCTCCGCCTCATCCTGGGGTCCAGCTGACCCATCGCCCCCAGGCGCCAGGACCCCTCATGCAAATGTACACGGGGATGCGTGCAGCCAGGCCTCTTCCTCACCTCCATGTAAAATCCTTTCATTAGAGGATGATGTTAAATATATTTACATATCATTTCCTCTTTATACGTAAGACAAGCATTTACTCTAACAAGAATATTCATCATTTCTTTCTCAAGCTCTTGAAACAATTAGGTTCCTTCAGCAGACAGAAGTTTACACAAAATACAATTTTTTTTCCTCTTGAAAAATTATAACACTGAGGGGTAAAAGCTGACTCTGTGGGAAAATGCAGTGCGCCACACAGGTTATTATGTCCAATGCTCTGAAAGGGCAAGAAGGAGAGAAGCCTGTCATCGCGTCAGTATCAGGTGACTGTAAGAAGAACCTCTCGGGCAGACAATGAATTGCTGCATTTTATTTTGTTTCTAAAGCATAGAGCAAGAAGAACCAAGCAGCCTCTGACTTTCCCAGCTTCCAGGCTGTCCAACGAACAACTTTCACTGTCCTGCTCAGCTTCGGGAGGGAGGGAAGAAGAAGGGAGAAAGGAAGGGAGGAGGAAGAGAGGAAGGGCACACACCTCCACCAGCCGCCAGGCCTCGCTGATGATTGCATACTGCAGGCGGTTCAGAACGAAGCCGGCCACCTCCTTCTGGACTCGCATGGGGCACTGTCCAATCTTCTTCATCAGGGCGTGGGTTCTGTCCACCGTCGTAGGGGCCGTCTCCGGGTGGGGGACCAGCTCAACCAGCGGGATGTAGTACGGCGGATTCACCTTAGGAGAGAGAGAGAAGTGGGGGAGTCAAGGAGATGACCCTGGGTTTGGGGCACTGCACCCACCCTGAATGGTCAGGAGCAGCAGATGCACCTTTGGAATGGTGCCTTTAGATTCAGTGGCCAACAACAAGATACTTGAGAAAGAAATTTGTTCACAAAGGAGAGAGAAAAAGGGAACCTGATGCAGAATTGTGTGGTTTTATTAAAAAAAAAAATACCCAAAATACGAAGTTGGAATTTGGAGGAACAGCTTGCTATCCTGTATGTTTACGGCTAATCTTCACAGCCCTGGCCTCCCCAGGACAGAGTCTCTCTGCTCCCGTCTGTCTTGTCTTCAAAGCTTCCTCCCAGCCCACCCCCTGAGAATCATGTCTTCCCATCTGCAGTCACCACAGGCTCTGAAATTCTCCTGTGTCAGTGTTAAAAATTATTAGCAAGCTGGGTGTGATAGCTCACACCTGTAATCCCAGAACTTTGGGAGGCCGAGGTGGAGGGATCACTTGAGCCCAGGAGTTCAAGACCAGCCTAGGCAACATAGCAAGACCCTGTCGCTACAAAAAATAAAAAAATTAGCTAGGTGTGGTGTTGTGTACCTGTAGTCCCAGCTACTTGGAAGGCTGAAGTGGGAGAATCACTTAAGCCCAGGAAGTGGAGGCTGCAGTGAGCCATGACTGTGCCATTGTACTCCAGCCTAAGTGACAGCACCAGATGATCTCAAAAATAAATTATTAGCAGTGTCTTCCCAAAACCTGGTATTTCCTTAATTCCTCCATATTGTACCTTAAGCATCTGCCTCTTCCAATCTAACATCACCTTCTCGCTCTAGAAATCAACAAGCATCAACACACCTCAGCAGCCCCAGCACCCCGACGAGCCCAAGACAGGAAGGCACTGTCCAGGTGAGTGGGCCCCGAGGGAGGACCCTGGACTTTACCATTCAACTCTTGTGTTCTTGGTTTACTTTGAGAAACTGTTCTTACAGATTCCTCACAGAGAATTATCAAATGTCCATAGAAAACAGTGCTTGGTAGAACCTGACTGGCCTGAGCACTGAACCAAGTATACCACAGCAAAAACTGGTCTCCAAATGGTGCTTTTAAATGGGTTTTCCTCCACTATATGGGTGATAAGTAGAATGTCACATTTGCTCAGTGATGCTTCCATGAGCAAAAGCTTCCATTTAAAGATGACTCCCACAGAAGAGGGAAGGAGCAATAAGGGCCATCCCGGGCACCCGCTCTGCCCTCTCAGGAATCAAGAAAAGATGGCTCCTGTTTCCAAATAGACAGATGGTAAATCGATGTCTCGGTTAAACACCTGTCACTTACTGAATTCTTATAGAAATACTTAACCTCTGACCTTTTGAAAAATCAAGATTAGAAGAACTGGAAGTGTGTCTTTCTCAGATGAATTTTGCTTTATTTTATATAAAGCAGGCATGCTGGGGCTGGGGTCTTTCCAACATTGTAAGCCTCACTGGTAGCAAAAACAGACGGAGACAAGGAGTTAGAAAGCATTTCTATTTAAAACTCACCAGTTCCCTCCTCTCAGTCTTCTCTGCAGTTTTTCCTGCTCACACTTTCCTGAGTGATGGAGACCCCCAGTCTGCCACAGTGGCCCACCTGTGCCCACTCCTGGTGTCACCACCACCAAGACTCGAGGACACAGAACACACCTGCGTGTCTCACACAGATCCCAGCCTCACCCTGGAGCCGGATGCCTTCCCTTGGGCACATCCCAGCACAGACTGGTCTCATGTGGGTTACCCCCCCCACCCCGGTCCCCCACCCCGGTCGGTTCCTGATCTCAGTGAGAATGTGTCACATCCCCACACCCAAGTCAGTGCCAGAAGAAGTGTTCCCGGCCGCTGCCTCTCCCTAGCCCCTCTCACTTTCCACTGAGAGGCGAGGCCAGCTGAACTTCCTGGGTCAAGTGTGAACTTGGGGAACTTTTCTGTCTTACAAAAGGATTGTAAAACACACCAATCAGGAACTTCCCTGTCTTACAAGAGGATTGTAAAACGCACCAACCAGCACTTTGTAAAATGCACCAATTGGCGCTCTGTAAAATGCACCAATCAGCAGGATTCTAAAAGTAGCCAATGACCGGGAGGACTGAAAAAGGGCACTCTGATAGGACAGACACGGAACATGGGTGGGGCCAATTAGGGAATAAAAGCTGGTCACCACCCTGCCCCACTCTGGGGCTTAAGTCCAGTGTCTTTCCTTGCTGGGGAAGCTTTGTCCTTTTGCTTTTCACAATAAACCTTGCTACCGCTTACTCTTTGGGTCTGTCCTATCTTTAAGAGCTGTAACACTCAACACCAACGTCTGCTGTTCACGAAGTCAGCAAGACCACAACCCACCAAAACCAGGAACCCACCGGCAAGAACCAATTCCGGACACACCATCAGCTACTGAAGTCCTGTTACCTCTCTTCACTCTTCTCTCAGAAAAACCACTGCCACCGCTACACTCAGCTCAGGGCCCCCGTTTCCAAACAGATTCTGCACTCCCTTCATGAGACTCCTGCTGGGGTCTCAGCACCTCTATCTCATCTTCCCAGAGCAATCCGTGTTGTGGCGGGAGCCTATCCAATCCACAACAGCAGCAAACGGAACGGCTGGGTGCGGGGGCTGGCGTGCGGCGGTGGGAAGTTAGGGTTTCATGGGATTCAGTCTTACAAGACGAGAAAGTTTCATAGATCCGTGGTAGTGGTGGCTGCCAGCCAATGAGAATGTCCTTAATGCCTCCCAACTGCGCACTTAGAAATGGCTAAGATGGTAGATTGTTATGTGTATTTTACCACAGTTACAAACTTTAAAAGTAAAAAACAGGTCTTTGCTCATGACTCCTCCAGTGAAAAATCTTGAAGGCCTCAGCACCCACGATAACAAAGCACGCGGCTGACTAGGATGCAGAGGCCAAAGACTGGGCCCCACCCAGTCCCCCGAAACAGACTTCCATCCACACCGACTTCCATCTACACCTGTGTGTCCAGCTACCAAAGTCGCCGCAAAAGGACCTTGGGGTCTCCTGGCTGGGACACAGTCTCCCTAACCTCAGCCATCGGCCTCTGACCCAGGAGGTCAATCTTGTCAATCAGGTCAGGTGCCCCTTGAATTGACCACGGCAGCGGGGAGGGGAGGAGACCAGCGAGGAGAGGAGGCAGCTTCCCCCGCCCCCCACCTTCCGTGTGGGAATGTGCGCGGTGGACTGAGAAACACACCCCCGAAAGGGTTAGACAGATACCACGGCAGCGCCGCGCAGGCCGGGGGAGCACAAGGGGCGCATTCTTCCCCGCCGCGCGGGGCCGTGTGACCGCGCCGACAGCGCCGCCGCCCAGACTCCCTTCCCCCCGCGCCGGGACCAACCAAAACGGCGAGGGCCCCAGGGCCGACAGCGCCCTCGCGGGAGGCCGCCGGGCTGCAGACTTGCCAGCCCTGGGTGTTCCGTGCTCCGTGGACAGCCCATCCTCTCCGCGGCGCGCTCGCAGGGAGGCTCCAAGGCAGCTCCGAGCGGCCGCAGGGGCGCGCACATGTGCAAACGGACGCACAGCACGGGCGCTTGGCAGACAGCAAGCCCTATGGGGTCCAATTTTACTACCACCACCAGGGCAGATGGCTTCAGTGTCAGGCGTGAGGTGAGTCCGAAAAGGCCAAGCCCGGGCTGGGGCGGGGGACGGGGCTAACTGGTGGCCTCTTCCCCCCACGCCCACCGCACGCCCCAGTCTGCCAGCCGCGGCCCCTTTCCCAGGCAGACCCGTCCATACGGCACAGTACTTGGTGGGCTCCGAAGACCCCACTAGCCCCGTCGGACCATCGTCTTCCCAGACTGAACTAAGGAGGAGAAAAACCGAGGGAGCCTCTTTGTAAAGTGTGGCTAAACTACCAGTAGAAAACTGCCACTCTGTCAGTGCTCCCTACAGCTCAATAAGGCCTGAGACTGCGATGCAACGTGCACACCGTTGTCACCGACAGGCCCCAGCCCGCACATCCTCCTCCCCCAGCCCCTCCACGTGGGAATTCCGGAGTCACTGCCACGAGGAGTCGAGGAAACACCACAAAAGACACAGGAGAAGAAAATGTCCAGAGCACAGCCGGCCTGCACGCACAGCCCTCTTCCTGGGCCTGCAGTGTGGCCGCCAGCACCTCCAGTCCTGGAAGCATACCCTAAAACCCAGCCCCAACTCCTGCGCTGTTTGAATTGACAGCGCCTTTCCCAATCCACTAACCGGAAGTCTGGCCCCGCCCCAGGGAACACGTGGCCGTGGCCCGTGCCACGAGGGCTGCAGGCTTCGCTGTATGGGCGGAGACAGAAGCAACCTTTCCAATTTGCTGAATATCCACTTTTGTCACGGCATGAACAAGCCTCCTTTTTCTTCATCCTATTTTCGGCCCAGGCAAAAATCACTAATGATTGAAACAAAGGGTCCCAAGCAGGGACTGGGGGCTGCAGGGTGGGCTCCTAGCTGGCCGCGGGAGGGGGGTGCAGCGTGGAAACTGGGGTTCCTCAGAGATCACAAATAGGTCTTGATTTTGTAGGGACTGCCTGTCCAGTCCCCTAGAGGTCCCGTGGGGTGAGCAAGAGGTGGGGCCAGGCTGGGTGCCTTTTTCCTGTAATTCCGTCACTTTGGGAGGCTGAGACAGGAGGCTTGCTTGAGGCCAGAAGTTCAAGGCTGCAGTGAGCTATGATGGCACCACTGCTCTCCAGCCTGGGCGACAGAGCCACAGAAAAAGAAAAAAAAAAGAGAGAGAGGTGGGCAGCTGGAACACAGAGGAAAGAAAAGGAAAGGTCCAAAGATGGCTAATTTGGGTTATTTGATTTGCTTTAATTAACATGGGTTTTGTTTAAAAAGAATTTGTAACAATAAGGCAGATATTTTTAAATTATTATTATTATTATTTTGAGACGGAATCTCACTCTGTCGCCCAGGCTGGAGTGCAGTGGCGCGATCTCAGCTCACTGCAAGCTCCGTCTCCCGGTTCACACCATTCTCCTGCCTCAGCCTCCTGAATAGCTGAGACTACAGGTGCCCGCCACCATGCCCGGATAATTTTTTGTATTTTTAGTAGAGATGGAGTTTCACCGTGTTAACCAGGATGGTCTCGATCTCCTGACCTCATGATCCGCCCGCCTCAGCCTCCCAAAGGGGAAGATTAATTTTTAAAATAAGGTCTGGACTTTATGCTGTTTCATTAAGTAAGTGAGCAATAGTGGGATGGAACAAGAGTAGGAAGGAGGGAGAGAAGTGTCATTATTCAACAGTTACCAACTCCTGCTGGTCAAGGGACTAGGTTGGGTGTGAGGGAGAAGAAAGTGACTCAAGTGTCCTCTCACACATCTGGTGATTTAAAAATAAAGAGACACAGTAAAGGTCTTATCAAAGAACTCAGGAGGTATTTTCTGAACAACTTTATTTAGATTAGTTTTGTTGTGAACTAACTTAGAAGCAAGAACATGGGTTAGAAATTAGGAGGCTGACCCCTTCCACTGAAGCAATCAAGCAGCAACCTAGAAAGTGCTGAGGTCTCCAGGAGCCCTTTCTGTAGACGTGTGTATGTCACCAAAGCAAAGGCAAGGCAGGCTTCTCGGACTCGCTTTCAATTAGGGTCCCTTGTGATGCTAATCTCACTCATATTTGAGTGGTAACCAAATGTGATGGGTTCTCTTCTATTTTTATGCATCTCAGCCTCCTTATTTTATAACCACTCCTCATTCTTTCCATCGTATCTCCCAGGACTATGCAGCTATGTAAATGGTGTTCCAAGCTGCAGCTCTTCTTAGCACACAAAACCTGGTGGGCATCTACAGATCTGGTAGGTGATTACCTCCACACTCGAAATGGCTCTTGCTCAGAAAGAGGAATTGCCCGGCTCTTGATCCTAGGCCCTGGTCACTCATGCTCGGAATACTGTCTTGCTCCCCTCTCTGACCCGTCTTCATCCCAGGAAGGACCTTCATGTTACCCTCCCCAGGCAGCACTTCCACTACATCACACTGATGCTCCGGACCCAAGCTGTCTGTCCCAGCTCTTCAGAGTAACCCTCACGATTCTCCAGACCCAACCATTACTGAGCCCTCCGCTGTTCTCCCATGGCTCCAAGGCATGTGTGCTCATGCCACCGGGCTGGCCTCCCACAATTCTGCACACCTAGAGGGTCCTTGGCCCAGGGTCTTTGCTTATGCTCTTCCCCAGGCTCGGACCCTCTCATCCCTTCATCAGCCCAACCAGTTCCTGGCCAGGCTGGGCCCTCTGTGTTGCTTCTCCCTGATCTGAACCTCTGACAACCTGGTGATGCCAAGGGTGTGGTCACTATTTTGTACTATTATAGTTATCACAGCTTGAGCTAAGTCACCTTTCCCGCTCGAACAGGCGTCCTGGTTCTCCAAAGTCACGCTGATCTCACAGTTGGGGCTCAAATGTCGTTCACTGGATCTCCTCTCTCATTCCCCTTTCCTCACTTCAATACGTTAACCGCTAAAAGATTCCTTGAGTGCTTGCATGCCAATCTGAAACTTATTGTCCAAGGCACCTCATAATGTACTCCTGGCAAATAAGCTTGCACAGTTAATTACGGTGAGTGGGTGGAAGGGAACCACAAGGGAAAAAAAGTTCTTAAAGTCAGACCTGCAGTCAGAATCTCAGGAGCAGGACCCAGAATCTGCATTTTAACAAAATGGATCCTACTCTGAATTGTGTTAACTACACAGTGCAAGTGACATATCTATACAATCCTACACAATGTATACGTTTTTGATGCAGCACTTTTACATTGATAGTGGAATCATTTGTTTATTAGTCGGCCTCCTCAGCTACACAGTTACTTGGGGGTGAAAGTCTCAAAGCATTGCTCACTCTATTCCGTTGCACATTAGGTACACAGATATAAATCCAAGGAATTTTGGGATAAAATTCTTTTTTAAAATACTGGTATTGTGTAACTCTGTAAATACAATAAGAACCACTGAACTGCACAATTTGAATTGGCAAACTGTGTAAGTGAATTATATCTTAATAAAGCAGTTTAAAAGACGAATGGATTACTCACAAGTTATTGGCCCCCTCCCCCGCAAAAAAAAATAATAAAAAATTAAAAAAAAACAGAATGAGATACAATCAATCCTCTAGATTTAAAATACTCACAGGATGAGCCACGATGCATTGCTTTACATGGACCAAGCCAGCAAACAGCTTGGAAGGCATGAGACAAGAAGTGGAACTGCTTAAGATCACTCGATCATCAACGATGGAATCTAACTGAGCAAAAATCTTCTTCTTCAGTTCTAGGTCTTCCGGAACACACTCCTGAAAAGGACACGTTGAAATGACTATTCATGACCACTCGACTCAGTCAAGCCCCAAGCAAAGCATTTCATGTTTGTTTCATTCCTCAAATGAACCACTTTGAAAATGATGAGGTTCAGGACATGTTATCCCAAAATATGGCAACTTGGCATTTGAGAAAACAGCTGAAGCAGGGAGGTCCCTCTGACCTTCTGCTCTCTCCTCCCCTAAAGCAGACTGTAAAAGAATTTTCTGCCCTTCCCCTGAAGCAGGTCATAAGACCCTCATACCAGAGGTACCCTCCCTACACCCAGAGAAAAACAATCTCCTTGTCTCTGAAGACACAGGGACACAGGGGAGAATCTGAACAAACAGGCCTTGCCAACTTCCCTCTAGTTTAATGCCAGCTAGATCATACCCCTTTGTCCTATCATACCCTCTGAAAGACTGTCCATTCTTTATCAAACCTAAGCATGTGTCATGTAAAACTTAAAATAAATACATCTGTATGTTTCTCTCTCGTCCATCTATCTTTTGTTATAGGGCCCTCAGCCATGAACCTTTCCATAGGAGAAGAAAAGATTTTATTTGTTCTCCCTTACAAAATCCACCAGCAAGATTTAAGAACAAGAAAAGGCTGCTGGAAAATACGATAAATCTTGATAACTCTGGAAAGTGGGTGATGAATATATGGGAGTTTGTTGTGCTTTCTAATTTTGAATCGCCTGGAAATTCTCATAATAATAAAGTCTGCCAACGATGTGGGGGTGGATTCTACAAACAAAACACACAACAGCACCCCAGGCAAACTGCTAAAAGCGTCGGTAGTTATCATCAACATTTATTTTCCCTATCTGCTTTGACCATGAGATCAGTAGATCTTCAAGGAAAAATCTCATCCTCATGAAATGAACAAACATGTTACATCCTTAATTCCCAAAAGGCTTCTTGAGAATCGATTTCTAATTGGAGATCCTTTCGAAAAAGATCTCCATTTCCAAAAATCCAAAACTACGTTAATCGGGGTAGGGGAGTGGGATAAAGATGCAAATTTGGATTAAAATACTACAGATAACAACCACTCTGAAGTTCTAATTACAAAGCTAGAGTGAGAGTGAGATGACACCTTCTAACACTCAGCACTGGCCCACAGGCGAGGCGTGTTCCCTGCCACATGAGGATGAAGAGGACACCGCCCTGCTGTGGATGGAAGCAGACCAGGGGAAAGATGCAAGAGCTGCTCTGACGCTTTGGAAATACTAGAGCTGTCCTTCCCCTCCTGACATCTGCACCTCTGGGATCACACCAGGGGTCACTCCTAACCAAGGTCCCTGCTCACCTGGGGCAACAGGTGCTGCAGGGGAGGAGGTAGGTAGGGCCTCCCAACATGCCCCAGTGACTTCAGGAGAATGACTCTCAGTGTGGTGCAATACCCATCCCATCGGAATCAACTGCGTGGCTTGTTAAAAATGCAAATTCTTGGGCTCCCATCCCGGACCTACTGAATCAGAGTCTCTAGGGGTGGGTTCCAGGCATCTGCAGTTCTAACAAGCATCCCTGATGATTCCTGTTCCCACTAAAGTTTGGGAACCCCTCTTCTGAGGTGTGTATCCAAAGTGTCAGTCCTTAATGCTCTCGGTGCAGTGTGCCACGAAATGCATCCTCAAGGGTTTCCTCTCCATCCCAACTACTCAGCGATAAACAAGGTGCCCTGATGGGAAGTGGGAAGGTTATTAGCACTGCAGCCATCTCCTGGTCTCTAACCACCTGATCAATTTCACTAAAATGTTAAATTTACGTATCATATTAGGTCATGAATACAGTATAAACACCAGCAGATAACCAGAATTGTGCAGATGTGAAATTCAATGCTGAAGTACTACTAGAAATTGTATCAGAATCACCCTTCAAAAATAAATGTTTTCAAGTTTAATTGAATAATGCTAATAGTTAATAATATCTAACATATTGAAATCAGCTGTGTGGATAGTGTGACATGAATTTTGCATCTATATTATCTACAAGATTTTTAAAGTTTTATTGTAAGGGTAGGGAGCCCATACTGGATTTTTTAATACTTTTTAAAAATATAATCAAACCATGTGAATCTTTTTAAAGAAACAAAAGGTCGCATAAGCACCACATCTCAAAGACGGAAAAAAAAAATCAGTCATTTAAGAACTGTAAAGCCCATTGTGTTAACTCCCCTTATCAAAGGGGGAAAAAGAGCTACAGTAGCTGGCTCATTGTATTGAGCCATTCCTGGATCAGTTAAGTCTGCAAGTTGGGTTAAGTTTAAATGGAGCCTTGTAGCAAAGCCAGAGACGAAGAATGATGCAGATCCTGTGTAAGCTAATAAAAGAGTCTCCATGAATAGCCTTATTGTAAGCCTGTCATGCAGATTCTCCCCTGAAATTCTATGCCTTTCTTCAGATCATTTGATTATCAAAGAGGCAAGAAAACCTGAACCAGAGGAAACTCAGATCTGTTCCAATTATGTAAGAGTTTTTAATGGCACGTTTGCTTGAAGTTTTGTTGCTGTAGTTGTTGCTGTTTTTAAGAGTGACCCAATTGTGTTGGATGTGCTGGGCTGGGGTTATAAGGATGCTGTCCATGTCACGGCTGAGTTTATTTCCTTGCTATTATTCCTTCAGATACCCCTGGTCTGAGAAAGGGAGTCTGACAAATGTATCAGGACCTTCCTCACTTGCAGTTGGTTACAAAGCTCAGAGAAGCTGCCATCACTCTCTTTGCCCTAAAGGGACGGGGAGGACAGGCAGGGAAGAATGTCAGGGAGACAGCCGAGAAGGTACCTGCACTCCTTCTGCAAACCAGAGAGATGCGGCCCGTGCACTCTCAACTCTGTCTTTCACAGGGCTCTTTCTAGAGACAGGCACCAAACGTGAAGCACTAGCAAAAATTCTACCACTACTAAAGGTATCAGCTTGATTTTGCTTAATTAAAGATTGACAGCATCTTTCAAAGCACTGACTTGTGTTTGTTTGGGTTTTGTTGGTTTTGAGGCGGGGGAGGGAGACACAACTCATGACAAATAATATTCTCATGCACAACCACCATTGGCATGCCTACATTTTGACAAATAAAACTCTGGGGAGAGGTAAAGCACAAGGCAACTTCCCAGTTCTCACAACTGTTCTGTCAAAAGGGTCACCCTCTTCCTTAGACTGAGCACTGGCTCAGGCAGGATGAGCAGCTGACAGGTGAGGCAGAGTTTAGACGCTGTGTGTGGCATTTCCCTGCCTTTCTTGAAGGGAAAACAACGACATGATGCTATTCTAGGCATTACTTTTAATGCTCTCTAACTTGTACTTTTAAAGTAAATCAACTGTAAGCTTCAGTGTTTCACGGTTAGTAAAAGTTACCTGTGTGGTGAATTCAACCCATTAGGGCCCTGATGTGGAAAACTGGCACAGCCCCAGCAAGTCTGCTACCTGGACCATTCCCAGGGGAAGGGTGTGCTGGGTAAGTACTCACTTCTGAAGTTTATCCACTTGCTTATGCAACATACATTTTCCAAAACATAGATTTTCATGATGAAAAAAAAATTCTGTCAAGTTTGTTGTTGTTGTTTTTAAATCCATCCAGGCATTTTACTATTTTTATTTTTATTTTTTGAGATTGAGTCTCACTCTGTTGCTCAGGCTGGAGTGCAATGGCATGATCTCGGCTCACTGCAACCTCCATCTCCTAGGTCAAAAGATTCTCCTGCCTCAGCCTCCCAAGTAGCTGGGACTACAGGCCCGCACCACCACACCCGGTTAATTTTTGTATTTTTAGTAGAGACGGGGCTTCATCATGCTGGCCAGGTTGTTCTCGAACTCCTGACCTCAGATGATCTGCCCACCTCAACCTCCCAAAGTGCTGGGATTACAGGTGTGAGCCACCACACCCGGTCAATCCAGGCATTTTAAATAGGCATCCTGTTGCTAGAAAATCTGTATTTGCTAGTGCAAAATATCTGGAAGCAGGCTTCAATGTGCTTTACAGAAAGAAAAAACAAATTAGAAGACTTCAATACTTAGGGTACTGTACATGCAAAGAAGATCTATTGGATAATTTTAAGAGGAAGAGACATGGTAAGAAAGGAAATATGAATTAGAATCCTACTGCAATCATAGCAGAAGGAAATCCACTCTCGGGCTGAAGATGGAGGCGTTCTACATTATAAACTCTGTTAGCACTAGTTACATCTCTGGCTTAAATCTGCCTAATTAACACCCCAGTTTCTCTTCATCATTTCTCCCAGGAGCGCAATGTTCAGAACGGTATTTCCTAGTTTGTTTGTTTTTTTTTTTTCCCTAGAATTCTTATAGTTTGAGGTCTTACATTTAAATCTTTAGTCTATCTTGAGTAAATTTTTGTATATGGTGAAAGGTAGGTATTTAGTTCCATTCTTCTGCATATGGCTAGTCAGCTATCCCAACACCATTTATTGAACAAGGAGTCCTTTCTTCATTGCTTATTTTTGTTGACTTTGTTGATGATCCAATGGTTGTAGGGCTGAAGCTTTATTTCTGGGTTCTCTATTCTGTTCAATTGGTCTGTGTGTCTGTTTTTGTACCAATATCATGCTGTTTGGTTACTATAGCCTTATAGTATCATTTGAAGTTGGATAATATGATGCCTTCAGCTTTGTTCTTTTTGCTTTGCTTATTCAGGCTCATTTTTTGTTCCATATGAATTTTAGAACAGTTTTTTCGAGTTCTCTAAAAAATGATGTTGATAGCTTGATAGGGATAGCATTGAATCTGTAGATTGTTTTGGGCAGTATGGCCATGTTAATAATATTAATTCTTCCAATCCATGAGCATGGAATACTTTTTCATTTTTTTGTGTTATCTGTGATTTCTTGTGGCAGTGTTTTTTAGTTCTCCTTATAGAGATCTTTCACCTCCTTGGTTAGAAGTATTCCTAGATATTTTAGGTTTTTGGTGGCTATTGTAAATGGGATTGTGTCCTTGATTCGGCTCTCAGCTTGTTCAATTTGTCTCTCTTTTAAC